GGGGAACTTGAGTGTTCTCGAATTTATTCGGGCTTTTTTGTCCATTTCCCGAAAACGTTAGGTCTTATCGCCTTTCCGAAAATTATAGCTGACCTTTTTTCGGTACCCAAAACGACATTTTCAACAGTCCGAAAACAACAGACATTAAATTTCTCATATCACGAAAGTTCGAGGTGCCAATTCTCTCAAGAAAATCAGAGGGGATTAAAGGCCTTCCGAACAGATAATTTACCGAAACGATCCGTTGGGTGCCCCTGGTAGTAGAGTCAAACTTCCCGTACATTCTCCATCACAACAACTTTAAGTCCTGAGGATGTTTATGAAGAAATCAAAACAAATTTTGTTGTTAATTTTCAACTTATTAACTTTCAATAGACCAAAGAGATTGTGGTGAATTCTCAATTCAGTCGAGTTTATCCCATTGATGTGATGATTGCAATCTGGCTCGATCACTGAATTCAACATGACAGCCAATTTCAGTGCATGGTTCGCCCATCATGATTCGACCGTGAGGCTACCGCAGCTCTGCTAATTTCGTAAATGATAAGATATCAAGTAAAAAGACTATTTTCGACAAAATTTAAGGTTAAAACCTTAGTAGCATTCATTTAAGATAAGTCACGACTTTCAGCTTTTAGCAGCAAAATAGATCCACGGTTTAACTCATGCATCACGTCTCGCACTCAACAGGTAAACCTCAAAGACAATTTTAAAATAGCGATAAGATTCAGCAGTATTTTCACTGAATTCATCACAAGAGACAAAACACTAACACACGTGAGATGACAGAAATTGTCGCTTGCAATAATTTATTTTCAGGCTCTCATCAATCGTTGATGAGTGCAAAATTACATTTCTTGACAGGAAGGAGTAACGTGTTCTCTACTTGTTTGTGCTGAAACTTGAAAGAAGAGAAAATTGAACAATTCAGGTATGGGGTAAAATACCCAATTGTGCAATGCTTTGTGGACATTGTAGTGTCATTTTTTGTTGTATTTTGGCGAGTTAAAGTTGAAGCACAATGAGCACAGAAAAATGCAATGACAAAATGAAACTGACGTGTGATTGTCACGCCGCCGGAGTGACGCAAATTTAATCTATGCTTGGCAATAACTAATATTGATGATTCCGAAAAAATCCAAAAGAATATACATTGAAGGAAAATCTAATTTGCCATCGAAAAAATACTAGGAGCTTGTATTTCTCTAATGTTGCTATTTTGCTATTTTTTTTGTGTCAGTCGCAGGCTAACTTTGTTATGGCCGTACTTTTCTGTTATTTGTTCACAAAATATATTTTGTCAGCTACTGTATGACATCAGCAACAGCAAGAAATACCAGTTCTGCCTCTGAACCTTGAATTGCCCCTTTCCAAGCGCTCAAGGTTCTTCTGGTAGAAAACAGCTCATAGGTAGGGGTTGACACATTATGCCGGCATAATTTCGAGCATAATACTAAATGTGGAGCATCGAGCATAATGCCGGCATAATAGTGCATTTTGCCGGCATAATAGTGCTTTTTTGGCGGCATAATAGTGCCGTTTTGCAACATAACAGTTATTTCCTTTTTTAGAGCTACTATTGTCCATTTATTAAGTTAAAACTACAAAA